ATACGAGGAGGCTACGCTGTCAAACAATAATTGTAAACGACGATAAGAAGACACATACCCCTTGTCTTGAGGCTGACATCAGCGGACTGAAGGGCGTCATGACCATCAAGGGCGAATGGATCCACTGTTCGTTCACTAACCAACTGTTGGGTGTCAACATCGGCTGGATGCGCAACAAAGGACTTTCTTGCACGCGGCGGCGAGGCACCAAAAATTGGCATTTTTGGAGGAAGACCCGGAACTGGACTGAGAACCTGCCGGAGACCAGTCGGGCGAGAAACCGTCCGACATTGGAGGTTGACTGGTGGTGAATTCATTCCTGCGTATGTGGGGGGCGGGGAAGTGGTATTTGCGGCAGGAGGGCGCAACGGCGGGACCCGATCAGCGGCGTAGTTCGACCTGGTCATTGCTGCGGAGCGCGGTTTGGTGTGTGTATTCGAGGCAATCTTCATGAAGGGATCCGCTGTCCTCTTGACGGCTAGAATTTGCCAATTCATTTAAGTACCTCGCATAATCCCATGTGAAAACGTGTTTGCTAGAAAAACTATGCAGTTAGGATTAACATTCAGCAATACTGCACTTTTAAGGTGCTGCTATATTAGGTAGACTATTAAGCATAGTTAAACAAAGGGGCATGATACTAGTTGGTTAAAAAATGTTTCCGTACTTGGGCCGGCACTGAATGCTGCTGTTCTTGTCCTCGAAGATCCATCAAACAAGCTAGCAACCATGGTGGATAATGCTGGGACTTCTTTCTTAAACCCTTCGTCAAAGGCGTCCGCGCCATATGACCGATCTATAATAGATAAAACAAGCAGAAGAACAAGGGCATGACTATCTGTGTGCAAATAGGGGATTCTAAAATGGAAACATAGTGTGTTCTGGTTTTAAAATTAAACTGGAAGATGAAATGGATAAGTAGGAAGGATTGTCGAGCACCGGATCAATTTGCTTATTATCCTGAGCTTTCGAACTCTTACAGGAGTCCATCGTCAGAGATAAAAAAAAAACAGCAACAAAAGAGGGGCTAGTTATAGTGCGTGTATACAAATTAACTGTCAAGGGTCATCAGATCGTGAGGGGTAATTAACCACGATGAAAAGAGTTCGAAAGCTCGGGATAATAAACAAATTGATCCGGTGCTCGACAATCCTTCTTCCTCATCCACACAAATACCTGAAACTCGAACGTTCTCCTCCATTTGGGAAGGTGAAATCGCTCGTCTATGTTAACGACCCACTCAAGGTTATTAGCGCCCCATGCCTATGCGCTTGTCCCGTTAGTGTCCATATTGCGTGAAGATGCCCTTTTGTGGGTGATGTATAAGCCACTTTGGTTCTTAGTAAAAAAAACTACGCAAGTTCAGGACAAATTATTCATAGGAGCAAAGTTCTACTAAGAATAAATAAGTAACCGGTATTGTTCTGTATAAGGTCTGTTATGTCCTGACCATGGCGCACCTCGGCCGGGTTGGGCAATAACTTCTGGCATCAGAACGGGGAAAAAGTGACTAAATACCCGGAAGTGAGTCTCCTATTGAGCGACTTGAATAAACAAAACGAGCTCCACTGCTGATAAGGCTTGCCACACGCAATGAAGTATTCCTCTTCACTTTCTGCTGACAAACAGCTATAGATGGTCAACTTGGGACAGTTTCTATATTTTAAAGAACACTTTAGAGTTTAAGCGTTGTATGTGTTCTCAAATAGATAAGGCTAAAGAGCCAAAAGGTAAAGTGGCCCACGTAGAGCTTTGTATGGGCAAATAATTTTTATAGCGGTCGACTAACCTGCTGTCACGGTGTTCATCAATTTCGGCAAAAAATGACGCAAAATTGACACTCCGACGATCTCATTCAGCTGACGTACGGCCGATAAACCTCGTTCGTGCTCGGTTTCAGAGAGGCGAATTATATGAAGTAGATTGTTGTTATAGCACTGAAGGCCGAAAGACTCATAGTCAGCCAACTGAGCTGACATCAACGACCGCGCAGTCTGATAAATGTCACAGAAAAAAATGTGACAGTTAGGCAGCAGAAATCAAAAAGAACTCATTTGTGGAATGTGTGGCAATGACTAATATCTGGCTGAGGAAAAAATGCATTTCAGTTTGAACAGTGCAAATATACGAACAAGGCACTACTCGTAAAGTGCAAGCCACAGAAAAAAAATGGGAGCCCTGTTGTCGCAGAGGTCTTGTTGCCTAGATTCCATCTCGAATAGACGCCGAGTATTCGGCAGTTGGGCAACTTAGCTGGTTTGGACGAAAAGTACCACTTCTGTGCTGTCTGTCTAAGAAGACATTGTGCTTGACAGGTTAGACTATCTTTTTGAACAATACTTGAGCAGGATAAATTTCACCACTTAGTAGGCGCTGATAAAATCGAAATACTCTGTAGAACGTTGAGCACCACCTAGAAAACTCTGTGTGCAGCATTTTAAGCTTGACCGGATTGCACGAAATGATTTGATGATTATCAGAAGTAATACATCCGCTGGCTAAACAATCAAGTCAGAGACAGTTCGAAGTCGGTAAATAACTAGCCTTACCATATGAAAGTCTGCTAGACAACCGTAACAGTCGAGTGGCAGAAATTCAACATTCACTTCGGATGGATGGATGGTAAATTTTATGACAGTCCGCCATCCAATACAGTGGAACCCCTGTTCCGGTGCCGAACTCATCATGTGAAACCCCCGTCTCGCGAAACGTAGCCAATCAACCTGCATTAGTTCACTGATTGACTGCAGATGACCGAGGGTCCACGTTTTGAGAGCAAAATTTAACAGCTGACACAGGCGATAGTTCGACCGTCGATTTCGACGATGTCCACCACGAGCTTCAGCAAGCGCGGTGACTTGCACGGGAATATAGTGAAAGTAGACTCGCGTGGAATCTACCCCATTCTCTCACTGTAACGGGTGTCAAGAAGAAGTCAACAAGACCGAAGATGGGAAAGGGCGCAGGTGGCTGGCGTGGCCGCCCCATGTGCTTGGGTGGGAGATGGGCGCG